TAAACTGTCAATAGAAATTAACATCCTGATCATTGTATCAACAACACAGTTTAGAATTTCAGCAAAATCATACAAGGAAACAATAAAATTGCAAAAAGTCTTGAATTGTTCACATTCAAAGTGATAACTGTGAGAAATGAAACCAACCCACTTCAAAATCTCGATCAAAACATTCAAAAAATCGAAAAACAAAATAACAGAACATAGAATAAGAAGTTACCTGAGTGACATCTTCAGCAATGTCGAGACCTTCAATCTCAGCCTGAGGCACGACGGAGACGGCTTTGCAGGCAACAGAGAGACCGGAATGCGACACCTCGCCATACTTCTTCAGCTGATTCTTCAATCTGGGAGGAGCAGCTGCCGTAGTGGCAAGACTCGAAGTACCCAATCTCAGAGTCTCCGACGAAAGATCCGCCGATGATTTCTTGGAGTTGCACGGAGAAGAAGACAACAACGGATTGAACGTAGAGAGGAAGAAGCAGCAGCAGCCATTTTTGCGTCTTTTTAGACTTCAGTTCTTAGATTTCCAGTTCTTCAAAAGACACCCAAATGCGTTGTGCTAAAAATAGTATTATTTTCTTTTCGAGCTAATTACACTCTTAATTGTATTAAATTATAAAATAAAAATAATTTTTAATATAAAAATTTAATTATATAATTAATATTTTTTAAATTTTTTTCACTTTTTGAGGGAATAATTCCTTTAATTTTTTTTTCTCTTTTCTTTTTTCCTTTTCACAATGGTCCCTTTTTCCTTTTGTTTTTAATGCTTAAAATAGGTGTACCGTATTTAGTTGGCAAAAAAATAAACTCAATATCATTTAAAGAATAAATAATTTATAAATTTTACAAAAAGAAATACAAGTGGGAAATCTGTAAATAAAGAATTCTTGGGGATTGAATAATATCATTAGTTAATGGAAGGAAGATGCTCTTCTAAACTTGAACTTGGAAAGGCCATGGCCAATTTTTCAGGTCCTCTTCTCTAGCTCCGGCACCGGCGATCCTCTGCTCCGAACCCTCCACAAAGGCATAGTACCTCACCAGGAATCCAAGTGTCAGCACCACCCACTCCATACAGAAAACCACCACACACAATCCGCCGACCAGCTTCAGAATAACAACCCCATCGTCTTCCCTAACATAAGATTTCAAGTAACCCAAGAAATCGGCGGTTCTGGTTAAGATTAACACCGAGACAGAGCCCTGACAAATTGACGTTAGCACCGTGGCCACCATGTGGGCTGCATACCTTTTGTTGGAGCCGGTGGTAACAACGGAGCAGCCACAGATGGCGGCGACAATGGCAACGACATTAAGAAGGATGAAGAAGAAGCCGCAGAGTGAGGGAATTAGGCGGAGGGAGAGGGTGAGGAAGACACAACTGGAGGCTGCTCCGAGAAGAATGTAGTTGGATAGGAGGAAGATTTTGTGAGTGCGTCGGTGAGATTGTGGCACCGAGGAAGTTGAACTGCCGTTGATGGAGAGTCCCATTTGAGGAAGAAACTAAGAAGTTCGAAATCTGGAGGAATTAAAGTCGGATTCTTTAACAGGTAGGGCTGAGCAAGCAAATTTTCTGGGTGTCGGAGAGAAGGTAGGAGGGGAAATTTATAGGGCCGAAAGATCAGCTGGTTGCCGTTGTATTTTCAAGTGTGAACACAAGAAATATGACCGTTGGGACTTGGGAGATGAGGACAGGTTGAAGTAGCCGTTTGGAGTTTACTTTGCCAACGGCTAGTTTTTAACCTCCGTGTTCGGACAATATGTGCTGCATGTGATATAAAAAATAGTGCAGACCCGGAAGGTTTTATTTATTATTGGGTTTTCTAATATCCGTAGAGTTTAAGTAATTAATTAATATAATTTTTATTCTTAAATTACATAAAAATAATAAGGTTTTAATTTTAATAATTAATTAATTAAATTAAGACACATGAAATTAATATTAAAATTACTATCAATCTTTTTATTTTCAATATGAGTTAAT